CCTAAAAATGAAGTAAAATCAAATCTCCCCGGAAAACGTGTAGTGAAGCTGACAGAGCCCCCATAAATAGCATCCTTCTGGTCGGCAGATCAGGAAACTCATCGCTGTCATTACCGGCAAATTCGATAGTGACAAAGCGAAGGCGCTTCCCGGTCTTTTTTTTTTCATCGCGCGCTGCGTGTTGTCGTCAGAGTGAAGTGAATTCTCAAATCTGGAGCTGGATCAATCTTGTTGTCGTGTTCTTTTTGGCCTCGGGGATACGCTCACTCACAGACATGATGAGAGACACGGCAGAGATCTTGTGGAGACTTCTGTCAAGTGGGACGAGATAACTCGGTGAGTGTTTACGTAACAGCGCTACTCAGTGAACTACTCACTCTGTATTATGATTCTGCTCTCTCTAGATCTAGCTTGCACGTGTATTTTGCATGACACAAATTGTAAAAAGTAGCTTTGTTCCGCAGAAATAGGTCATGCCAAAAATAGCGATGCCGCCGCTTAAAGCGCGTGAGGTCAGCCTGGGTCAGAGACATTCGTGATAAAAGTTCACAGTACAAATGTCACATTAGTGGATGTCAAAAAGAAAGAAAACAGAGACAGACAGACACACGGACGGCGTGGAAAGAAATGCGTTGTTGTAGGCGAGATCTAGTGCTGCAGATCTAACTCAGACCTGTTGAAGGGTTTGTTTATTTTAGTAAAAGTTTTACGGCACTTGCCGCACAATAAAGTCATTATGTAAGTGCCGAAGATTTGAGGTGTTACAAGAGAGTAACAAACACTAAAAAGGAGGAGAGATAAGGGCGACAGATGTTTGATAGGAAAGAAGGAGCAAACCACACCAGAGCACCCCCAACTATCCACCCGCTGACTGAATAGCATGGGATATTTATAAGCCGGATGCTAAATGTGCTGCCTCACGGTAACCAGCTCCACGTAATTACTGAGAAGACCGACCACCGCATTCGCTGTGGGGATCCAGACTTTGCTGTCCGTACGCCTAGTTTGTCAAGGCCATGTTTCTACTCTCGTGAACATAGGTTGAGTAGATGGTGTTCGTGCTCTCGTGAACATACGTTGAGTGGATGGTGTTCGTGCTCTCGTGAACATACGTTGAGTGGATGGTGTTCGTTCTCTCGTGAATATAGATAGAGTGGATGGTGTTCGTGCTCTCGTGAACATATTTTGAGAGGATGGTGTTCGTTCTCTTGTGAACATATTTTGAGTGGATGGTGTTCGTTCTCTTGTGAACATAGTTAGAGAGGATGGTGTCCGTGCTCTCGTGAACATAGTTTGAGTAGATGGTGTCCGTGCTCTCGTGAACATATTTTGAGTGGATGGTGTTCGTTCTCTCGTGAACATAGTTAGAGAGGGTGGTGTTCGTGCTGTCGTGAGGCATCGAAAAGTGAGTTGGAGCATGAATGAATGTGCAATTTTTAAAAAAATTAAGAACAAAACTTTTCTTCAGTTTTTATCAAATATCATGCAGTCATCTCATACGCACCTCAAGTGAATCCCTGAAGGAAAACAAATGTTGGTATTTTGGTATTTTGGCCCTGTGTCTGTTTGTCCTTTCTAGATCTAGTATACTTTTTTTTTTTTAATTCAACAACGTGGAATTGTGTTTCTGAAATACTCGCGGAGCAGTGAACTTAAGATTAGGTCAACGATTACAACAGTTACAGTTTTCAAGTTCCTTCTCATCAGTTGACCGATGTGTGTGCTAGCAGATTGTGACCATTTCCATGTATATATATATATACATGTATATAATATGTATATATTTTTTTAATTT